TACATTATGATGTCACCACATGACCTTTGACCCGTCCAATCACTGAACAGATGCTGAGAACAGAGAGATGTGTGGATGAGACAAAACTTTCTGAACGGAAACTGAAGTTATTAAAGAGGAATGATCTAGATTGATCTAGATCTATAGCTCTAAAGCTCTACAGCTATAGATCTAGAGTCAGCACAGCCCCAGATCTTCCAGCTGGACTCTAGAGATCAGGCTGACCTCTGACCTCTGATCTGTCTGAAACCAGCTGGTTAGTTTCCTTACAAACATATCAATAATCTGATGTTTTTATGAAAGTCTTTATCTGCCTTGTTGCTGAAATCTATCACCAATTAACATTATTGATTCATTTCTGATCAGAACTTCTCCTGCTCTGTAAATCTGGAGATTGTTTCCCTCCTTCCTTTTCGCCTGGCTGCCGTTAATCTGCTGAATTATCTGGGATTTGTTGGGATTCCAGGAATTATTTTAAACTTGGAGTTTTTCCAGGAAACATTTGCCTTAAGATCCTGAAGTGTCAGTGTTGTTGTGAGATATGATGAAAATCAGAATAATTTGATTCCACATAAACATTTTATTCTCCTTCACATAGTTTGAGTTCATTCTGCATGATTTCTTTGTTCAAAGATAAGTTTGGCAATTTTTTTCCCTAAATGTTTTTCGCTGCATTAAAAGTTTCACATTTTGAATCCAAACAGGATATTTGGAGATATTTCTGTTCAGAAGTATCAGATGAACTTGAAATCATTATTCCTCCTTCATAAGATGAAGACACGATTTAATCTGAACTCATATTTCTGCTTGTTCTGCTCATTAATTGACAATAAATTATGCAAACAGTGACACCCACTGGACAAAAGTGAAATTATCCTGTAGAAAGAAATCGGCTTCACGTTTAGCTGAAGAATTTAGTTGAAGTTTCTTAAATAATGTTTATAATTAAAAAATCTCCGTGAGACAAATGAAACGATTAATTTCAGAGATATTTTGGTTCTAATGAAGAAATTAGTCTTCTTTGCTTTCTGACAGTAAATCTGTAAACCTTTAATTATCTAGGAATGTAGAGAATGTAAAGCTGCCAGCCTGAAGGCAGCGCTCAGGGTTTGTTTAACCCTCAATTGCTGAAAATGGAGTTTAGATCGTTGAGGCTCCAATATACTGGGGCGAACTGCACGCATTCCCTGAACTGGACTGATGTACTGGAGCCTTTAAAAAGATCCAAATACACAAACTGATTGGTGGAAATGACTTTTAAATAAACCAAAAAATAGAAATATACAGATATAAACTCAGAGGAATCCAGATATGAACAACCTGACCAGACCGGACCGGACCAAGCCTGGCGGAGAGGCAGCGGCCTGCAGAGCAGCCTGGCGTCAAAAATCAAACCAAGCCACAAAGACGAAGATTACATTTCATTTCACACCGAAATGGAGAATTAGAAGGTTGGAATAAACATAAAGCGTAGAGTAGAACACTTTTAATGACAAATAAATTCAAATAATCAAACAACAAATTGTAAGTAGAATTGAGAGCAGTTATAAACGGTTCCAGCCCCGCCCCTTCTGCGTCTTACTCCTGAAGTAAGTTGGCTTTACTATGTATTTTGCCTATTATGAGATATGCAATGCATTTCCTGTCTAAACTGGAACAGTGAAAACCCTTCGCAGAGAATGTGGCTTAAAAATACTCCAGATTTCAAAATGTTTACTAATGTGACTCAAATTTGCAAAAGTCACTAAATATGTCTATATCTCAAATAATGTGATCATATTATTCAACATGTTAAATAATATCTAACATTTTAATATGATCATGATGAAGTCATGAACGTCTTCCTGTCCAAACTCAGAGGTGAAGTTATTTCTCACGAGCGACACCCTGTGGACAGGAGGGGAGCAGCACTCAGTCTGAATTTATTTATGTCATAAAGCCGATGCTTTTTAATCGACATGAATATGTAAATATTCAGGACTTAATCAGAGAGGTTTTCATGGAGGGAGCAACAGCTGTTAAGCATAATTTGTAAATAAGTCACTTATGCTAATTATACTTAACAACATAGAAGTGTAAAAAAAAGTCACAACATCCTCCAGCAGGATTTACCTTCTATTTAAAATACCCAGAGGTTTAAAACAGAAGGTTATTATATAGAATGTTAAATAGAAAGTTATTATATAGATATGAAATAGAAAGCTTCTTCAATCACCTCGGACGTCTTTTCTTGAACATTTCTGTTCAGTTTTTATTGAGAAGAAAACGGCGACAGCTGTTCGTTACCTAGCAACCAAAAATCAACGGAAGCAAGACAGTGACAAAACAGAACCACATCCTGTTAAGCATTCTTAAAAATAAAAGACTTCCTCTATCCAAACAAATCATGCCTCACGCTTAAATGTTTCACTTCAGCTTTTGTAATTATATACAATCATGTTAAATTAAATTAATAATAATCATTATGTAAATTATACTTAACATAGAAGTGTAAAAGAGTCAACAACATTTAAAAGAGCATGAGCCAGAATTCATGACAGATTTTAATGTTTAGCTAGAAATGTTAGAATTCAGTGACCGTTCAGTTCGCCCTGCGAGGAACCAGAAGGTCAAACCAGGCGCTGACCTCTGACCTGCTGCTCAGCGGCCCTCTCACATCATCAGGGGCTGAGAAGCTGCAGAAAAGGAAACGATGTTGTTTGAGAGCAGAGGAAGGACAATCAGTACTGCAGCTTGACACCAGGGGGCGCAACGAGGTCATAATGAGCTGACTGCAGTTTTTCACCCGGACGGTCTGATGGTCAGAGATGGGAAACAAAATAAAATCTTTTCCAGATCCGATTGTTTCCATTGAAAGGTTTTCCTACCTGTTGTGTTGATCTGCAGGAAGAAGAGAGAAATTATTGATCCAGTATTGATTGTTTTGGGCTGAATAAGGAGGAGCAATAAATGTCTTTATTTAGATAAAAAGGTTTTTGCTGCAGATTCGAAACGGATCCGAAGATGAAGAGGAGCAGAAGTTCTGCTGAGGTTCTGGAGCCGGCCCTCGGTTCTGATCTGATTGGAGCGTTGCACCAATAAACACTTATTGATCAGAATGATCAGATAAACTCAATAACAGCATTGTGTTAAATATATTTCTCCTGTTTAGCAACAAAAACTCATTTTGTCTGAATCTGTCAGCATGAAAAACCTAAAAAACATTTAAATTAACGTTTAGCTGCCAGACCACAGAAACACGGAAAACTACAAATTTACATAAAATATTTCCAACTGGGATTTTCTCAGAATTGATCATTTTTTTCTGCTTTAATGAAAGCAGCACATCTGACCTGGAGAACCAGAAACCTTTACAGAAACTGGATCCACTCAGAAACACATGAAACTGAAACCTCTGCTGAGGTCAAAGGTCAAGCTTCTGGTTTCTATCGAAAACACAAATAGAGAGAATCACTTCCTCACTCAGCCCAACCTTCACCTGACCTCCAGCAGCCTTATGAAGGTCAGATCCAGAGTGCACTACGGGGCATTATCACAGATCCTTCCTCAGTGTAATGGATAATGAACCATTTAAATTAAGTTGCCTAAATTATTCAAATTTGTAGACTATTTATTGTAAATTATTTAAAGGATGTTGCAGATTGTTTAATGGTATTTGTCTGTTTTGATTACCACTGTTGGTGGTTTGTATCTTGTTCTGTTTAATTGTATTTGCACTTTGTAAAGTTTAGTTTTTTTTTTGTTATGTACCTCACGGGCTGCCGTAGCTAATGAGGGCAGGCCCTATAAAAGCTGGCAAATCATTGAACCAATGAATGACTTGAACAAACTGTCAGAAATGTGCTTGGTACTGTCAACACTTGGTGTTCCCCGGTGAAAGCAGCGAGGGACGTTTTATTTTGTTGGTGCAAGTTTCTGTTTATATTCTAATATTTGTATCTGTTTAGTTTTCATGGTGACTGATGATCCACATCAAAGAAAAATAAACCTTGAAAATCATCCGTCGACCGCGCAGATTAATTCAAGTGCTGGGGATCAGCTACACTCCGACATTCATAGACTCCTTCATGTTCATGTCGGTCTTATGAACACCGTCAGGTTTGGTCTGTCATGAAGTGTCATTCGCTAAATTATGACATTTAATGCAAAGTTGCTCTAAAAGTTGCATGAAAAGTCCATTAAAATGCCAACATTTTATTAAGTGTCATAATTTAGCCATTGCTTCAACACCAGAAGGCGTTTTTCAAACTGCTTCATTCCTGCATTTCCTTGGAAATATCCCCAATATTATTTGCAAAGATGGTTGAAAATGTTCAACATTTCAAAATGTTAATCAAAAAACTGATGCAAATATTTAACAAGTCATCTTCCACTAGCAGCACCGCGGGCCGGCCCAAGGCATAAGCAAACTCTGCAACAAAGCAGAACCTGACAGATTGACAATGTGTTAAAAACAAACCGTCAGATTTTAAATTAGCATAACGTCTAAACGTGTGTGTGTGTGTGTTTGTGTGTGTGTGTGTGCTGAGCAACCAGAGAAGGAAAATGCTTGACCAACATTTTGGCGCCTCTGAAATTGAAGCAGTTTTAGTTCTGATCTGATGAAATGGCTCAAAGTGAAGCTGATCTGATCAACCAAACCTGCTGCTAGAACATTTCTCTCTTCATTCCAGAGTTTTTCCTTCCACACAACCACAGGCGTCCAGAACCTGCAGCTCCAGCGCAGCATGGGAACCTGCCACACTTTGCATGTCATTATTCTTAAATGTGGCTTTTTGACAAAAACCTATAAACACCAAGAATCAAAAAAATTCACTTCTACATGATATTCTGATATTTTAGTTTAACCTGAAAAAAACTAACATTTCTAAAACCTGAAGGTTGTTTAGTGTAAAAATGATTCTTCAGTCGAACCTCCAGCAGAACCGGTCCGACCCGCCACAGAAGTTCTGCTGGAACTAAGATGTCATAAGAACAGATTATTAATCCCAACCGGCACAAAGATGCCAAGATTATTTATTAGAGAAATTAAACCAAATGATCAAATCTGAGAAGAATCTCGCAGATGCAGAAAACTTCAAGATAATCAGGTTTTATTGGTTTGGTTCGAGTCCAGAAACGTCTGTGGATCTGCAGCATCGCGAGCGACGAGCCGCGTTTCTGAGGAAACAGAAAAACTAAAGTAAACAATACAAATAAACAATAAAACTAAGTTTCTTTTCATTTTCTTTTGTTCTCCTGACAACCAGGAAAAAAACATCCTGCTTTTCCGTTTCCATGGTAACCACATCCAAAACAAACATTTCCAGACATGAAATGCATCTGTTCTCAGAAAATGATTTGACTAGACCACTGCACATCTATGGGTGAAAGGTCAAAGGCTAAGAGGCCGAGCAACCAAACAACGTTCCCTGAAAGTGAAAAGAAATGTGTGAGAACGTTCAGAAAGTATTGATGAAAAGCACTTCAACCCAGCAGCACGTCTGGCTCCTCAGGGGACAACAGGACGAGTCTAGACTGCAACGCATCAGAATGACCAGCAGGTGGCAGTAAGCTTCAGTCTCCTCCACCAAACCGCCGATGTTCTACCTGAGCAGCAAGGTGGGTCAGCGCTCCACACGCCTCCTTCACACACCGCCTCAGCGGCGCCCTCTAGCTGGAAACCATGGAAACAGGCGTACAGAGCCGTCAGCTTTCCAGATCTGGAGGAAAACAGGAAATCTCCGTTGTCTACGGGCCGTGGAGAGCCACACAGTCGCAGGCCTGAAACAGCAGCAGTTTGTGTCGTCGGCATGTTGAACGTCTGAAGTGAGTGGCTCGTGTCGGTGAACTCACCGAGACTCGGCTCGTCTCTCCAGGCCTCCAGGCTCAGGGCTGGGACGGCGCTGCAGGGAAGGAAGCCGTCCGGGTAGCGAGCCAACCTGAAGGGATCCGCAGGAATCTCCTGGATGTCCGAGTTCTCACAAATGATCCGAGACAGAGAAGTTTTCCACAGCTGCTCCCGCTGCTGCTGGGTGAACACGCCGTCCGCTTCCCACCAAAACCTGGAGCAAAAACCCGAACACATGAGCAGCTTCGGCTTTTACATGAAGCAGAAATGTTTCCGTACCGATCTCCATCTCGCAGAAGCTTCATTTGCTTTCCGATCAGGCAGGCGAACAGCGGGCCGGTTCTGGAGCCGGCCAGGAAGTTTTCCACCAGTCCTCCCAGCCAAACGTCGATGTTGTCGGGATGTTGGTATAAATGAAGAATCTTCTCAGCGACTCTGCGATCTCTCACGACTTCTGCCAGGTCGTCCAACGTCGCGATGCGCTTCAGTCCACAGAAATCCCTCCAGTCGTTGTATCCTAAAAGGTCGTCACAGCACCAAGTGATCCGTCTGCTCTTCTTTTGAAATGCGTTTATCTTAAGTTAGTGGAGTTTAGCAAAGGCTCAGACCGAGAAACACTCCCAGCTGTTCTTGGCCCACTTTCACCCTGTGCCTGCCTGCTGAGATTGTTACGTTATTTATCCAACTTATGCTGCATGTACCTGGTTCTGATGCAGAACCAGAACCAAACATGGAGAAGCAGCATTCAGCTTGTATGCACCACAGATCTGGAACACACTTCCAGAAAACTGAAAAACTGCTGGAACAGATTTATAATAACAGTAACATCATAAAGTTTATTCTGATTATCAGACATTTTTTCCACATCGTTGCAGTTTTTTCTGCTCGTTTGTTTCATTTTCTTCTAATTGTGTAAAAACTCTTTGATTCTCCTTGTTGCTGAAAATGTACGATGGTAATAAAGTTGTTTTAACATTTGTCATTTTCTCCAAAAAGAAGTTGAAAATGAAACCCAAGTCATTTTTATTCCCAATGTTGGATTTTGGTAATAAAGTTGGAAATGTTACCTTATGAAAACATTTCTGTGTTGTGCTAACGGAGTATTTTAAACAACCCAAATTACAACTTGGCAGCGATGAAGAACTAATTAGATTCAGAGGAAATAAACTCCCTGACGGTTTGGTGGCAGCGCCATGTTGAGTTTTACGTTTCACAGCTAAAGAACGGCAGGAAGTCAACTCTTTGTTCTGAGCCTGCAGAGAAATCAGAAAAACACGATTTGATTCAGAGAACTGCTTTGTGGGTTGAAATTCAGTGTTTTCCTGCAGCGGTGAGCGACATGGAAATGATTCAAAATGTCCTCCAGAAGCATCCAGAGCGACAAACATGCAGCTTCTTCTAAAAACAGCTGCAGCGTCTGTAGTTTCAGGTTTGATTCTCCTGGAGCAGCAGAGGTTTCTTCCGGCCTCAGCGACTTTCACTGAGGCAGATTTTCACAGACTGGAGGAAGTGTTGCCTCCCATCGGATCCCTTAATAACAACAAAGATGCTTTTATTTCTACTACACCAAGCAGGAACAGCTCAGATGGAGGACTGGTGGAAACTAAGAACAGGTTTTTTTAAGGATGTAAAACCAAAGATTTAAGCTCAGTTTTCTACTCCAGACCCTGAAAGGATTTTTTTCTGTGGAGGGAATCTGGAACATGAAGGCTGCATCACTTTTCTTGGATCTGATCCCAGAGTTAATGTGTCCTGACAATAAAACATGTCTGTTAATCTCTTGAAGAGCAACAATATCCTCAGGGAGGAGCTGACTGAGCAGCTGACTGACGAACCGCTAACTGCAGCGGGACAGAAAATAAATCCAGTGACTCAGTTTCAAGGTGGCAGAAGAAAGAAAACTCTGGATTCTTCACTAAACTTCACATGAAGCAACAGAAAATATTAAGATTTATTATGAATTAGTGATTAAAGTATCCAGGAACTGACTGGATTTCATCAGCAGCTGCTTATAGAAGCAGAAAGTTCAGTCATGTTTTTGTTCATGAATGGTTCTGTACGGGTTCTGGTTGTTGAGGCAACAAACTGAACATCTGAGATCCAAACAGGATAAACCTCAACTGCAGCAGTTTTGTTTATTAATCCATCCATATGTCTAAATTTATACAAAATGCATCATAAAATCTATTTTTTCACATCACTGTGATTATTAAAGGGACAGTTTTATGTAAAATTATCATATTATGCTATTCCATCATCAGAAACAGTCCAGCAGTGTTGCTCTGATTCCTGCATGTTTGAGAAATCCTTTAGTCTCTATGGCAACCATTCAGCTGTACAAAACACCTGGGTGAACCTAGCCCCGCCTTCGGGGCGCCTTCCTCCCCTCACTCAGCTCCTTCAGACTAGCAGACAGCAATTAGCAAACATCTGAGCTCATTTTGGAGCTGCTGCTCAGAGCAATGCTGGTAAAATCGTTAAAGGGTTAATAGAGGAGCCATGTTGGGATGACTTCCTGGAGGTGGAGCCTCAGAAACAGCAAGAGTTTTTAAAGTGACAGAGGAACAATTTCAAGGTTAAACCAGAAAGTAAGGTTTCTTTTAGGTCATCCATCCATTTAACACCCTTGTCCCTTAATGGGGTCAGGAGGTGCTGCTGTCTCTCCAGCTAACGTTCCAGCCAAGAGGCTGGGTCACCTGGACAGGTGGCCAGTCTGTCGCAGGGCAACACAGAAACAGACCATACACACACTCACACCTAGAGAGAATTTGGAGAGACCAATTAACTGTGGGAGGAAGCCGGAGAACCCAGAGAGAGCCCACCATGCACAGGGAGAACATGCAGACTCCATGCAGAAAGACCCCAGGCTGGGAATGGAACCCAAAACCTTCTTGCTGCAAGGCAGCAGCTCTACCAACTGCGCCACCGTGCAGGCCCACTTTTAGGTCATCTGATAAAAACAACATTTTTATAAGGTGGCACATTTTTGAAGGAAACGCAGTTACTTGACTGTCTATAAAATGGCAAACACATAACACTGCCCCTTTAATATAATTTGGTCCATTCCTAGAAACCAGATTTTTATTGACTGGTTCTGCTCAAGATGAGCCAAAGTGGTACTTTGTGATGAGATCCTGACCCGGCAGTCCGTGGTCCCGCCCCCTCTGCAGGTTCAGGGCAGCCAGATCCAGGTTCTGCTGGGAGTCCAGAACCAGCAGTGACTCCGTTACCTCCTCCACCAGGAGGGAGTCCGGAGCTGCCACCGCCGCCGCCGTGGCAACCATGCCCCGCAAGGTCGGCTCGATGCCACCTGCACACACACGCACCAAACTATTCAAGTAAAATGTAAATCAAATAAGCCTACCTAGTGATGTTATAACGTTTTACAACAGAAATTATACAAAAATCACTTCCTGAAACTTCAGGAAATAACTTGGACCACAAGGAGCCCTGGTTGGTTAAATGAAACACTCCTGTGCTGTCTATACATGCAGTACCACCTCCCACAGACAAGGGGTCAGTACTGAGCACACACAGTTTGCACACACTTTCCCAATCATTGGTACCAAGTGGGCTAAGTAGAAAAAAAACATGCAGGATGTCAGGAGAGCGTCCCAATCTGCTTTAGACTGGCTTCCCATGCGGGGCCCAGGATTTTGGACCGCAAACACACAGGGGCCCTCTGGGTTGGTGGGCTCCCTTCGTTTGGACCCTCCATTGTAACAAAACAACTATGCACACACACGATTGTGTGGCTATCTTTGTGGGGACTTTCCATTGACTTCCAGCGTTTCCAAGGAGCAGTGGGTCCCCACAACGTAGTATGTGTCAGGAAAATGGTCCCCACAAGGGATTACAAACAAACACACACACACACCAAGGTTGGTTCAATGCCACTGGACACATACACAAGGAGCTCTGCAGCTTTCAATTAGTACGAAAGAACATGAATAAAGCAGCTGCTTTGGAAAAAGAAAAACCAAACTAAAAAGCAAACCAGCTTCGGCTTAGAAACGGTTCATCTTCGCTCAGTGGTGTCAAAAATCATTCATAAAGCGAATCCAGTGAATGGAGTTTGGAGGTGGAGGCCAGTTTTATCATAAAAGGCATAATTTCATGATGATAATGATCCTCAGTGACTGGAGACCAGTGAAATGTCCCAGCTGGTGCCCATCTGCTTCTCAAGGTTTCAGAAATACTTTGAATTTCAAAGTGAAAAAATGTTTAAATGAGCCACAAAAAGTTGATTTTAATCTCAGAAAATCAGTTGGGCTCTTAAATTTACGATACTATGCTTATAGTAAATGTTTCAGAGCATACGGCAGAAAATCCCTTTATTCTATATTTCTAGCTTACATATTGGGTGTGTTCTCTGAGGTCATCGCTACCTTGAAATCTGATAGTTTGTTTGAAAAGCAACCTCAGATTACCGAACAAAAAATCTCTTCATGAAGGAGGAAGGGAGGCAATAAAACTGATTTGTAGTTTTTAGTCTGTATTCAACCATTTTCACTAAGGTGATAAGATGAATAGAGTTAGCATAGCAGCGTTAATAACTCTATTATTAACTAAGCTAACAGGCTAAATGCCTGATTTGTAACAAACAAATCTACAGTTTCACTGCTAAACAAATCCGTGTGTTTTGTAAGACATTGTAACACTTTCATGGTGGATATTTAGAACTAAAATGGCTGCACCTTCTCTTCTTCATGTTCGGTTGGGTCAACACCGACAGGCTGATGGAAACCATCAGGAAAAACTAGGAGTTGTGGGTAAATTGGGCATCTTCAGCTTTAATTTGGTGAATTAACTGCAGGAATTTCTCCTGAAACTCCAGCTGACCCAAATACGACTACGTCGCTTCCTTCCTGTGGTTCTCCGGAGGTTTCCATGGCTGCCTTAAAGGGGCGCACTGACCTTCTTTAACGATCCTCCAGGGACTGAAGAGTGCCTGCTGAAGTCTCAGGCGGGGGAAGCGCCGGTCTTCCTGGAAGCTCTCGTTCAGCCTGCTGAGGATCGGAGGAATGGTGGCGTGGCCGAACCTGAAGGCCGCCGTGGCGAACACGTTGGAGGCCGAGCTGTCCACTGTCGGATCGTACCCGCCATAGGGCCCGATGTGCCGTTCAAACGACTCCGCACCAATTACTTTAGGGATATAATCTCTCATCGTTATTATCTGGAAGTCAAACAAGAAAGATGAGGCATGGGAAAGGCTGAAACTACTTCGAAGTGTCTAAATCTTTTACTAAGGCAGGTTTTATTTGCTCCAAGCCAATCAGAGCAGATGACCGTTTGACGCCGAGAGAGACAGGTGGGGGACGAAGATCACTCGCTTTGGCTGAGCCTGAAAATGTCTGATGAGAACTTTGATGCTTTAATCTGTTCAGATTTTTTATCTGTTCAGATTCTGCTGCCAAAATCACCTCTGGATTTTTGCAGCTGAATCTCTCAAAGGTCTTAGTAGGATGAGATTATTGGGAAAGACCTGGGAACTTTAGAAAAGGAACTTCAGCTCTGTAGTGTAAGAAAGGCTGTTTTCCTCCTGATGGTCCGGTCGACCCGGTTCTACTGGAACCAGACCATCTGCTCCACCTCCAGCTGCTGTGGTTCTGAGTCACACCAGCCTGTTCCCCTCCTGGCCTGTGGGGGCGCTGCACCAAGAACCACTGAAGGAAATGACAGGAAACCTCTGAAGACACTGAGAGCAACTTCCTTCTTCACCAGATGGAAACAAGATGGAGGCGTCAGATTTTAGCGGTTGGAGGATTTCTCTTTAGGCTAAAGACCAGGAGCCATTTCTGCTGCTAGCGCTAGGCTAGCATGTTAGCTTTGGTTGTATTTACCCAGAATGCCCTGCGCTGTAGTCCACTTCCTATTTTTGAAGCGGTCTCTGGTCCGCTCGGCGTTCACATTCAAACCAACCAGAGTTCACTTTAACCAAACTGACGTTTGGAGGACCAGAGGTCAGAGGTCTATTAGCGTTCACATCTCACCAACCGAACCGGACTTTGACTAGACAGACGCACTGGAGTTGGATTGAAGCGGCCTGAACAGGACTGGTGGGAATGATGCAACCTAAAGCTTGTAGAACATTGTTTGGTTTTTGAGGAAATAAAAATTAATTTGTTCTCAAAAATGTAAACACTTTGCATCAGTTAATTATTTCCAAGTCGCAGCCACTGCAGCAGTATTGTTTACTGTAGCAGCTTAAAATAAGCACAGTATCTTTGTAGACAATAATTTCCTTATGAGACTTCTGTGAAGTGAAATTATCTGGATGAATGTTTCAGACTTGAAGAGTAACGGCTCACTTCAGACAGAACAAACCATTTTCAAGTTGATGTCTGAAGAGAGAAAACTGCGGTTCTCTCAGCGGCTTTAAAGAGCCGACTACTGACCTACAATGACAAGTTATTGTCATCTCCAGTTAGTGGAGATGAAGGAGTCTTGGAGCTGCCATGTAACTGATGAAGACATAAGAGGAAGACTGAAACCATAACCAAGGAAAGGTTAAACAAGTTTCATTAACATAAATCAGAATGTGCATGCTTCTAGTGGGGAAGGTGTTGTCCATCCTGAAGTTTATATATTCTGTTAGTCAATCGGGTCAGTAGCCTCAAGACAATGCTGCAGGGTTTCTTCTGCTCCCTCTGACCGTTTTTCACAGTTGGTTTTGTTACAGGTTGCCTCTGAACAAGGGCTTTACATTCTGATCAGAGAAACACTGATCTGATTTACCCAGAGGACGTCTGGCTTCATCAGACTGTTGAGCCTTTTGAGGCCCTAACAGATGAAGGTAGAAGAGACGACGCTCTGCAGACTGCCGATCTGCAGCATCTGATGCAAAAGATCTTAGTTTCCTCCAGCAGTCCAGCCAGCTCTGTTCCTTCTTGCTTATGCATCCTGGTTGGATGGTTTACTGTCCCCTCGCCGCTTCTCTGGGGCATTTAAGTCGACTGATTGTCCTGAAACATTGGAAGCCAACATGAGGACGCAGCGTTTCATCAACGTTTGCTTTAAAGCCAGAAGGTTCTCTGTCTCAGGATGTTTCTGAAGATCTTCCACCAACATTAAACTGGTCTTGTTGGTGCAGCAGATTCCCAGCGTTTCCAGTTTAACACCAGAAGCTGACAGCAGGCTGTCATTAGGGCTTCTGACCTTTCAGTGTTTGCTGGTCGCCCTCCGACAGTCTGCTGAAAATAAAGCTGCTCTACTCGCCTGGCTTCCTCAGTCTGATAAAAAACCACAAATGTTTCATTGTGGAAGAGGAAATGTGACCTTTCTGCTGTGCCAGATCACATTTAGTAAAGCAGTTTCTGTTTTGCTCCTAATTAGAGGCGCTGGCCGCTCTACCACATCAGCTCAGACTGAAATGACTCAAGAAATATTCTGTGTTTAAAAATAGCTGCTTTGAAAAGATGCTAGGTGACCTGCATCAAACATCCAGTTACCATGACGAGTTTCCACCCAATCAGGTCGCGTTTACAGATTTAATTAACTCAGGTTGACTGATTATGCAACAAGCTGTTTGTTTTTATTCCTTATGCATGTTGCTGTTCATCTGCGGCTTCAAACCTCATCAGGCAGATATTAGAAATAATAACTGACTGGATTCTGGTTCCTGGATAAGAGTGACGCCCTCACTTGGTCATTTTGATCTAAATTACTAGTTTAATTAATAATTGCCTAAGTAATTTTAGTTATTCATAGCTAAATGTAAAGCAGAACACATTATGAATAAACTCAACATGAATTATTCTGGCAACAAAAAGCAAATATTACTGGGTGTATGTATATATTTGAGCCTGTATTATAGAGGATTAATATTTATATCCAACTCTGTTTCATTCATTTATTCAGGAATAGGTTGAGGAAGAGTTTTCCCGTTTTCCCTCCAGCAGGATGTTTGAAACAACTTCCTGCTTCAGATGCAAAAACATTTCCATGTCTGACAAAAGCAGAAATAATTCCCCCGCTTCGGAGAAAACTCAAACACTTTTCTTTCAGGTTTCATTTCCTGTCCACGACTCACTGCTGATTTTACGATTCACTCCGTTTCTCCAGTTTGACACGTTACAGCAGAGGCACAGAAAACCAGCGTTCCCAGTAGAACGGGACAACTGGGAACCACTTCCTGCAGCAACAACGTCCTACAGGAAGGAATAAAACATTCATCGGCTTCATCACTGCGTTTCTGTCTGCTTATGCAGTAAACTGGGACGTTTTAACTAAATCTGGGTGAGAATCAGCCGGCAGGAGGAACGAGCTACGATCCGACATCAACCGGCCCAACTTTCCAAAAGCTTCACAGTAAAATCAGCCGGTAACGTTCCTCAGAGCCGCTTCCACCAAAATGTAACAATATCGAAAATCGGCTCGTATGAATATGGGTGAAAAAACAACAACGAATCTTTAGAAGTTTAAAATAGCAGCGTCCAAACTTTTTGGGCCAAAATTCTCATGAAGCAAAATATAATAAAAAGAAATACAATCACAAAAAATCGTGTTGAAATTTATGATTTTTTTATTTATATAAAAAAATCAGGTCAGTCAGGTTTTTTGTCGTTCCAAAATAAAAAAGGATTTTTCATATTTGAGTTATTAAAAGAAAGAAATCCAGTTTTTAAATTCTGTTTCCATTTCAGTTGTGATTAGATTCAGATTTGTTGGTAATAATTTTGGCCTAGTTAAAGCTCAAAGCTTCCCACTCCTCTCTGCTGCTCGGTCAGCTGAAGACGCTTTACGGAAATCTTACTAATTGAATAAATTGGCATAGAAACTGCAACAATGAGCTCCAGTCTGCCTGACAGACTCATCGCCTCTGAAACGTCGATGAACTCGACTTCCTCCTGCTGACGGTCAGAACAGGAAGTGGCTCAAACCTCGCCCTCCTCTTCCTCACCTCTTCAGATTCCGCTGAGACCAAAACTGAAGGAGTTCAATAAGTTGGTGGTTGTCCGTCAGCAGATCAGACAGATGATCAAATGTTTCGTCATCGTTTGTCATAAATTCCTTCCCATTAACGGCCTGCAGCCAAACGTTCACTTCCTGATGACTTTGGATCATTTAGATGTAAACATTATGCTGAACAGTTTCAGACACATTTCTGATCACTTCCTGGTTTAGAGCCAGTGTTGAATGTTTGAGTCTTTATTTTTATTTCTAATGTTTCCTTGCTAACAGTTTCATCACTTTATGTCTAACTTACAGTCGTTCTTGTACAATCCAAACATTTGGTGTTTGTTTGAGTTGGACTCGGATCTCAGAGCTTCAGGATCAGGCTGAGACGTTCTGGATCCTTCAAAATAAAAACCATCTTAATCACGAATCATAAGAATAAAGTCGGTTCATTAAATAAGCTGTAAGAACTGTTGACATGGTTTGACCTTTGAACTCTTCATGTGTAATTAAAGGCAGCAGCTTCATCTCAGCTAATGATTCGTTCAGCAGAGCTTCCTTTAGCTAAACCATGAAACAGGAAGCAGCTTCAGTATCAGAAGCACTTCCTGCAGACATAAACGCCTGATCCCAAGTTAAACAGCATCTGGGGTCAAAGTGCACAGCATTAGCGCTCTAACATTAGCTTCTGCTAGGCACCATGTTGTTGTAGCCCTTTAGCGTTAGCAGGACTGAAGTTTATGGTTAGTGCTTTAGGTTTAGCGTAGCTAACGTTCAGTTAGCGGTTCCATTCAGAGACCAAGACAGTCGGACCTCGTTTTATCAATACACACAAAAACAAATCAGTCCCAGGTTTTCATTTAGGGGCATCAGACTGGTGATGTTGGTGCGTGAGCTGCAGCCGGACTCTCACCTGGTGCAGGGCGCCAACGATCTTGCGTGCCTCCTGGAACACGGCCTCAGGGCTCCAGTGCTGGTTGATGAGCTTCAGGGTGTCTGCGAGGCGGTTGTGTTCCCGGAGCCACAGCGTATGCAGAACGATCAGAGGCAGGCCCTCGTTGACCCGGCCCTCTCCGGCCCGGAAACACTCTATCCCTCGGCCACGCCCTGCCGCGCCGCACGCCGACGGCGTCTCCGCTACGAAGGGCAGGTAAGGTCTGCCCTGCCGGTCCTGGAAGCGGCCGTTTACAGCCAGCTTCCCGCTGCGGCCGGAGAGGTCGCGGAGGTCGCTCTGCAGCGGCGGCGTGTGGCCGTACACCAGAGAGGCGTCGATGAAGGACGAGACGGCGTTCAGCTGCTGCCGCTGCATGCCGGAGCCGGACCTGGAGCAGCAGGCCGGCGTGGAGCGCTGGAACGGCATGCAGAGGGAGTCCTGGGTCTGAGAGCCAGACACACGCCACAATGTAATCAGATTACATATCGAACTCACTGATCTCAGAACGGATTTCAGTTCTTGGTGTTTGGAGCAGACTCACCTGGATGGGGAAGCAGGGATGCAGGTTTTCACACGATGTGCGGCAGTCCCGCTGCGTCCAGGAAGCGGCTCCGCTGAGGCTCTGCGGCGTCAGGGTCACATCGTGGTCGATGTACTGACCCCAGTCCGCCAGCAGCTGGGAGTACGCAGCGTCTGCGTCCTTACAGGAAGTCCTCACCACCTCCCTGCTGACACGCCGCGGCTGCACACACAACGCCGTCATCACACAGCCAATCAGCACTCAGACTGTCATTACAGCCAATCACAGAGCTGATTGGCTCTCTGACTGGCCAATCAGGCGAGAATACCTGGAGGTTAAAACCAGATAATTTAAAGCTGCAGTAACTTTTATAAAATTATTCTTTTACATGTTCGTTGAAATCGTCATCATGTCATGCAAACTAGAAACAACCAATCAGAGCAAGGAGGAGTGTCTTAGTGCTGTCAATCAACCCTTCTTGCTCTCTGCTGTACTGCAGCTAGCATAACCTGTTGTGGATGCTAAAGCTAGTTAGCATTACCACTCACGACGGCAGATAAACGGTTTTCCTGTGAGCCATTTCTTAGCTATTGGCACCTTTAGCAGCAAGTACATGAGGATGATTGACAGCGGTAGGCCCCACCTCCCAGTTCTGATTGGTTGTTTTTGCTCAGGGAGGAGATGGATGTTTTCACAGATCATCTGACTCAGACTGTCACAACAGGGTGAGTAAAATAAAAGCTTTAAGTGAAGCTGTAATTAGAGAAACACTCAGGATCCTCATTTCTCCTCCTGATTCGATAAAACGGCTCAGATCCTGTAACCAGACAGCAGCTGGTAGTTATTTACTGAGTTTCTCCTCAAACCGATGGCGGTCTGGACTGAGGAAGAGAACCGCTCCCCACCGTTCATCTGAGCGGCTCGTATTCATTTCAGCCAATCGTTTTCTGCCTGTCAGTCTGGCTCATAATCCAGCCGGTTTCTGTGGGCCTTATCAGCCGGAAGCAGGCCGCGGAGCCAACCGGACCGCCACCCTGGCCCGGCTCTACCTTCACTCAGGTTACCGGGGGAAGCTGGGATCCGTGATGGAGCCGCTGGGGGTCCCAGCCTCTGGGTTCCTCCTCTCCGTCCTCATATTCAGCTGGAAGCCATCGGACCAAGGCCGTGTTGGCGGCGCCCCAGTCAGGATTCTGTCTGACAGAACGAAGAAACCGGCTGCTCCGCTTCAAACCGACAGATTCGGCAGGAAATTTTTCAATCTAAATGACATTTAACCCGATTCATCCTGACAGAACGCAGGAAAACTGTAAGAACAGCTAATCACCATAAACCTCCGTCAGCTACAGAACATTAGCATGCTAACCCTTTCATATTTCCCATCAGCCACTTCAATCAAAGGATGATGATCATTTTTCAAGATGGCTGCCATATTTGAGCCTTTTAAACTAGTTATTGTCATAAAATGTTCCCCATTTTCTTGACTTTATGAACTTTATGTCTCAAGTATTTTCTACTTTGGTTGTTGTGTTGATAAAACTAACTAATGTTTTATGTGTTTAGCAGTTTAGGGTTAGCGCCTGCTAACTTTTTATATGTTTAGCAGGCTAACACTAATGTTCACAAGTTTTTAAAGTGGTTAGCCAGTTAGCAATAGCTTATGCTAATTGCGTTATGTTTTAGCAGTTTAGTGTTAACTCCCAATATTTTTTAGGTGTTTAGTGGTTTAGTGTTCGTTTCCAATCACTCTGGTTGTTTTTTGAGGGGTTAGCATCAAATGCTGGATTTCATTGGTGAAACCCTTTAGCTTGTCTGTCCTAAAATCTGAAGCTGGTAATTTATTTCAAAAGAACAGCTGAAAGCTTCACTTTTACTGAGTTTTACTCCACATTCAGTTGTTATTTCTCTTTGCTGTAATAATAAAATCTCCTTTTGTGCGGTTGTGCTACCTGTTGTTGCAGACTCCTGAGATGCTGCGGTATTTGTCATGATGACTTCCTTCACAGACAGCTGGATCCGTTTCAGTCGGACACTGAGACAGCTCTGCAAGCAGCTCCAGGTTTTCCTGTGACAAAAGCTCTGACATGAGCAAAAAAAAAAAATGAAGTCACTGCAGCTCAGCAAACGAGCGATAAAATGTCAGGCTTTATGGTTTCTATGTGATTTTGGTAGCACAGCTAGAAATGAAAGAAACTGATTAGAACTACGGCCATACCTGATGCTGTGAAGTTCCTGTTGTATTTCTGCTTTGCTGCGTTTTTCAGGATCTGCAGGGCAGCGTGGAAAATCTCCCCGGACCTGGAAATCTCCTGAGTCTGAGGCTGGAAGTGAAACCTGAAGCCATGGCTGCAGAGAGGAGCTGCTCTCCGTCTGCGGACAGGAGTTGGATGTTAAAGCAGTTTCATTTTCAGGCTGTGTGGCCCGGTGGTTGTCTGGGCTGGGTACCTCTGGCTGGAGGCGCCGTCAGCATCCTGAGGAGACGAGACCAGAAAGTCTCTGAGGGACGAGGCTGAAAATGAATAACAGAACTTCAGACCTCGGAGCAGAGCCTACATATTTTAAATTAAAATGATTTACTTTCTTGATCTTGTGTTTCATTTTTCAAAATGGCCACCGTGGTTGTAACAGAGAATAAATGTTTGATCTAAAATCAGCAGCAGCAACTGCCAGTGGTGGGCAATGCTAACCAGATGGTTAGCTTCAATAACTAGCTGAACCAGAATCTCAGCTCTGCTAATGCTAAACCAACAGAACAACCAGCAGAAGCTAATGCTAAATCACTAAACAGAAAAAATTGTGGAAGATGCTGATCTATTATAAAAAAATAAATATGATCAAAAAACAGAATATTATGCTTTTAAATCTGGATTATTTTCTTCACTTTTTTCACATTTTTCATTTTAGGACTTTAATTTGGCTGCTAATTAAAGTCTGCAGGAAATTAGATTAAATATTTAATATTTGAAACTTAACTAAACTTTTTAAATTGAGACTCAAACCTTTATAAATATATATACACTGCTCAAAAAAATAAAGGGAACACTCAAATAACACATCCTAGATCTGAATGAATGAAATATTCTCATTGAATATTTTGTTCTGTACAAAGTTGAATGTGCTGACGACAAAATCACACAAAAATCATCAATGGAAATCAAATTTATTAACCAATGGAGGCCTGGATTTGGAGCCACACACAAAATTAAAGTGAAATGTTCCCTTTATTTTTTTGAGCAGCATATATATAAAAAAATGAACGTTTTCTTTCTCTTGCTGCAAAAAACAAATTTCATATGAAATATTTACTCACAGCTGAGCGTGGAAGGAGTCGGTGGAACGACGCAGACCAACATCACCAGAAGAGACAGATGGAGACATTTCTTCGTCTTCATGGCTCCTCTGCGTCCCGGCAGCAGACGCGTCTTTATGTGAGACCAGACAGGAAGTGCAGCGGGATGGAGACATGCAGCGGGTCAAAGGTCACAGCACCTGACTCCAGAGGGGCTCTTCATTTCACATCACCGAGCTGACTATTGTTTTTACCTCTGCACGTTTCTGAGGAGACATCTTGATGGGCCGTTACCGTGACGACGCTGCAGGAAAACATGGCGCCGCAGTTTCAATCCGCGAGTCGCTCTCAAAACAAAAACATCTCGAGGAGCAGCACTCTGGATTTCTACAAGTTTTCTTTCTCTGGCTGCTTCCAGAGCAGTGACGTGGGTCAGGGGAGGCAGAGCCTCACCTGTCATCATGGAAAAATAATAATAAAATCATTTATATTGCTATTTTCACCCTGTGGTTTGTACTATAAAGTACCTATTTTTTTTACTTAGCTTAACCAATTCCGATTAGTTTTTTCTTAAAAATCGCTGGATTTTCGCATTTTCCCATTCAAATGCTCAGAAGCGAAGCCGGTGAGGCAGCAGGAAGCTGAGCCTCACCTGGACTGATCAACCTCTGGCTGCCATTCTATGAGAGCAGGTCCTCCTGTCTGTACGCCGGCAATGAAATGGCTAAGAAACATTTAATATATGGACTGATTTTCCGTGATTTAGCTTATGTATATAATGTACAGTGTTTTTTGTCACCAACTGTGTGTGTATCGTGTTTTGTGTGCGGAGGAGCGATCAGAAACGGCAGAAAACAGACTCCAGGGGAGGCAGGCAGTTCTCTTGCCTCATGGCAGGGGGCGCTCATGATCCCAGATATTGTGACTGCACAACTGCAGAGTAAGACACAGTGAGCTAGCCATGGAGCTAGCCACACAGTAAATAAGTAAAATACAGCGATATATTTGTTTTCTTCCCTCTTCCGACGTCAACATGAAAAACTACATTTCTACAGTTAAACAGTTTTCTAAAGTGGATTTTCAACTCCTGGAGATAATAACTAAAGGAAGACCAACACCGGAGCTGAAGGTTTTGCTTCGAGACAGTTTGATGATTCTCAGACGGAGTAGAAAAGACATGAGGATAGACTTGGCTTTGGATGAACGGAGATTTCTGTGCAGAATTAGCGGTGCATGGATTGCATTGATAAGTAAAGGTAAGACAGCAATAAGATGTTTTTGTTTAGTTTTTTAATGAAATGTGCGTTTTGTGGGCTACAGTTTGTATGTTTAAATAATTCAGTAAAGTAGAAGCGGTTTATGTGAGAAATTCTGTTCCCCTGATAAAATCTGTTCCCCCTCTATAAAATGGAAACAAATTAATTTACCTGCAAGTCTTTTACTGTGTTGATTCCTCTCATCATCAACAACAAATCCTGCAAGTTTGAAAACATTTGCTAATTTTTTGCCAAAGTTAGGAGGGGGGAACAAAATATTTTAGCTCTTTCAGCCACCTGAAATAATATGTTCCCCCTACATAAAATGGACAGGTACAGTGAATTAATTTCTTTACCTAAAATGTGAATCATTAAATGAAGCTGTTTATTTCAGTTTGCAGAAAAAACTCCTAGCAAAAGTGGTTGTGGATTTTTCCAGTTTCCACTGCGGCGTCTACAGCATGAGGTTTACATTGCTGTGAGATTATTCTTAACAGTGGTGATTATAACATTAATATTCTTATTTTGAGTGTTAATGAAAATTTTTATCATGACTATAATTTGTATGTTTTGATAAAAAAAATATGTACTTAGCCAAAACTTAATACATCAACATGTGAAAACAGTTATTTATTTATAGTCATTTGTTTCCATTTTATGTAGGGGGAACAGATTTTATTAGGCGGTTAAAATATTTAGTACCCACATCCTAACTTTGGCAAAAAAAGAGCAAATGTTATGAAAATCACAGGATTTCTTGTTGATCACAAGGGGAATTAACACAGTAAAAGACTTGCAGGTAAATTAATTTGTTTCCATTTTAAGGGGGGGAACAGATTTTATCAGGCTGGTGAAATATCCATTCTCTCCTCTTCTCCCCCATAACTTTGGGAAATAAAAAGTAACTGTTTCCAAATTCTCAAAAATGATGTGTGATAGCATGCTAGACATTTCCTTATTTTTCTTATTTATCATTAGAACGGGATTGACCAAAAAGTTTACACTGTGATCTTTTCAGGAAGTCTTTATTTTTGTGCCCTGCTATCGGCCAGCTTCCCTCCTCCTTTATCAGAAATGAAAAATTATAAATGCACACTACATGTTGGAAACCTGTGTTTGTTGACTGACTTTTATTTGTGAGGCTTAAGAGACAAAAGCTGAAAAAAAGATCGATTCTCTTCGCGTTTAAAATAACACAAAACAGCGTAAAAAGACCTCCACACCAGACCTCGTTTATTTATGTATGTATTTTTATTTTGATAGCTGCCGATTAAACTGAAAGTTACATTGACATGATTACATGAGTAGTTTTTACCGAGAAATCGATCAGAAGCGCCGTGAAAATGGTCAAATCCGCCGGATCCACTTCTCTGGCTGCAATGCGCGCTCCCGACACAGGGGGGCAGAATTTCTCACAAGAGCTGTAGCTAATCTACCACAGCAATTATTTATTAATAAAACATTAAGCCTAAAACATACTACAACAACAGATTGAATGTTCTGTTCTGTGGATGACACGTAAAATATTAGTCTTTTTGCCCCCCAGCGAAATTTCCGTTCGTCCAATAACATGCATGGTGTCTGTAGTCGTCAGAGCCTCACCAGCAAAGAACCTCACCGCACGTCACTGGTCCAGAGGATAAGAAGCCGTCCAGAACCAGCAGAGCTGAGGAGCTGCAGCTGGTTAGAAATTCAGCTGCAACAGCAGCAAAGGAAACAATAAATAAATGAAAACAGAATAAAGACTGAAAAACACGGTAGGGCATTGATTCAACACAAATGGTGTGTAGTTATTGGCAGCTACTCTGGTCCAGAGGAATGTGGGTAAAATAAATAAAAAAAAATGTGTATCTGAGCATTAAAAAGACAGATTATTTATATAAGTATGAAACTGGAACAGCAGAGATTATATTCCGAATTAAAACCTGTTCAGCACCAGCAGGGGTGTGAATACTTATCGAGTTCGTTTGGAGCGGGCGGTTTAGAGTCCAACAGGTCAGGCAGGCTGATAAAAACACAAACTAAATCCTACAAAATAAATTAATCAACATTAATCCGTCTGTGGGCTAAAAGCTAAAGGCTAGCTGCTTTTAGCACAACAACAGTCTTTTCCAGCGTCTCATCAGATCGGCGTGAAGCAGAAATTAACCCCCAACGGGCCAGAGGAGCCTGCTAGCGGCTGTCGTCTGTGCGTCAGATTAACTGCCCTACTGGAAACGCATGAATACAGAGGTTCTGGCCGGAAGGTTTGCATGGGGAAAAATATTAAAATTTTCCTTATTGATTCATCGAAATGAATGTGTTAAAGACCCGACCATAACTGAAACACAGCACCAGAGGGAGAACCGGGGGAGCAGGGAGCATCTTGGCAACGTTAAATCAGATGTTTAACAGGAAATGGAGACCGCAGAGTTCATGTGATGCGTTCATGAACGTAGGAACATCAGTTGCTGCTGCGTTCAGGCTTAAAGTTCTGAGAGAGATGCGGCGACTCGGCGTATCCATCACAGCGGAACTATTTATCCGAACTACAACTGGACTACAGCCGAACTACAACTGGACTACAGCCGAACTACAACTGGACTACAGCTGTAGTTACGGCGGATCGGTCCTGTGACGGCTGGCTGGATCTGGAGTGAACGAACATGTTACCATGGAAACTCCTCCGTCATCACTGGCGGAGCAGAGTGCTTGAAGGTGATGCGGGGCGTGACGCTGACAAAACCTCTTGATGTGATGACGTCATCAGAGCATCAGTCTGGGTTACCTAGCAACACATCAGGCCGGATGGCGGCAACAAGTTCAGCTTCAGAGCTTTAAACTAACTGCAAAGAATTACAGCATTTGTTTATAATATTAATAAATCAACATCCAGTCAGTGAAAGTTTCTGAAAGATGAAAAGCAGCACTGAACCTTTCTGATTTTAATGTTTACGTGAAAATAATAATTGCTGCAGCAGCCGGAGCTGGTAATCAGGAAGATTCAATAGTAAAATATAGACTCCATAAAAATGGTGGATATAGCATTAAATAAGAGCCATAGAATAAAAATAGGATGTCAAAGTTTTCATGAGGCGAATAATCTGCATAACATGACCAACATGTTCTCCAGATTATAAAAGCTGGTTACCATGAAAACATTAATATGATTATTTTAAAGACATCAGAATCCAGATTAATCTGGTAAAACAACAAAATGCTGACGGTTAAAATTAAAGATCAACTAATAACTTAGTTTAAGTTATTAGTTGAGTTTACTAACTTAAACTGTTATTCTCAGAATAAAATCCAGAATATTTTATGTTAATAGTAGTTATGTGTAAAACTGAGAAATAACAGCAAACAATAACAAATTTTTATAAAGATAATTCACAAGTAAAAAAGCAACGGAGCTCCATTTTAAAAAATGGAGCAGTTTTATAAATATAATATAATTAATGTCAGCAATAAGCAGATAAATATGAGCTACAGGCAGCTGGTCTGTAAAGTGGTTTTCTTTATTGAAACAGCAGAAAATGTGATTTATTGGTGAAGCCTTGAATATTAATGAAGCATCGAAAAATGAACAGTAACAGTGAAATTTTATATAAAAGTGTTTAATATTCTGCCTCTGCTGGCTGGAACCAAGTAGAAAACGAGTCGCTCAGATCAGCCAATCAGACGGAAACATCTCAGCTAAAAACACAGACGGGAAGAAACGGACACCGATTCCCGGTTTGTCTCCCAGCCAGATGAAGAACAAAGTCCAGAACCAGCAGAGAGTTCTAGCTGAGGCGGATCCAGCTGGTTCCGTCTGACCCAAATCAGTCCCAGGAGTTCAGCAACATGAACCCATCTGGCCTCTTAGCTGGAACTGATGTTTCCTCCACCGACGGTCCAGAAAGTTCCCGTTTGATCCCAGATTTATTCATCCTGCTGCCAGATTGAAGCAGCTCTGCACTGGCGGCAGCGCCTTCCTGTCAGCTCTGTCTCACGTTGCTTCCAATGAAATAAACTCTTTCAGCTGATAAAGTCTTCATGATGAATAAATGTAAACATTTGGAAAAACAATTAAAATGTTTGTTTTAAAATCTAAATAACTAATAAACAGCCACTTCCTGTTACAGCTTTTAGCTTACTAATATTAATAAAAATCATTTATTATTATGACAAGTATTGCACTGTAATTACCTGGCAGTAATAACCTGCAGCTAGATGTTAATAATTAATGTATTAAATAAACCAGAATTATTATTTTATGATGTAATAATCAGCAACATTAGACCAGAAGCAGCTGCAGTTTCTATTTAAAAAGTCTGAATTTTACTGATGAATCAGCATCAAATCCATATTAATGTTTGATTATTTGCTCTCTAGTTATAATTTTATTAAGATATTTCATGATATGACCCAATAATTAGTTTTATTTTGCATCTTTATTCCTCGCTGCTGTAACAGGAAGTGCTCTCCGACCCAAACTGAAAATATTCACCGTCATGTTCCTATCTGGATAAAAACCGTCTATGTGAGAATAATCTACCTTTACAGAGGTTTACAGGAAAGCATCCAGGAACAGGAACGTTTCTGGTGAGCGACAGGAACAGGAAGTCTAGCTGCTGATGTGTGGGGCGAGGCTCTGGCCGCACAGGAAGCCGGGCTCCATGGACGCCACCTTGGCAGCGATGAAGGAGTGGATGCAGTGGAGGACCGCCGTCAGGTTGGCAAACTCCAGTTCCTGACAGGAGAAGAAGAAGAATCACAACATAATCAGAACTCAGGATTTTACGTTTTAAATTTAATTTAGTCACCATTTTTCTTCACAAAACGGAAGAAATTTTACTTTATTTCCATTTGAAACACCAGGCTACGATGACTCCTAGTGCTTTCTGCAGTGAAAATATAAAATCCTCTAAAACTCCAAAAATCACTTATTCTAATAGTTCAATTATCAAATATCTGTCAATGCGCCAAGGAGAAACCATCTTAGAACCACAGCAGAAACTAAAAGTTTGTCTTCCTTATTTCTGGAGGTTCAGCCAATCAGCATCAAGGAAAACTAAAGCTGCTCCTGGATTGGCTGCTCTGTTAGCCAATAGTGTGTCAGCTAGCATCGCTCAATTATTTACATTAGAGCATTTTAGATATTCTCTATGAAAGGTTCCACAGTATAAAAAGAGAAATAATAAACATCTCTTTGTAAATATATTCATATATAAAGTCTTACAAAAAAGACAAAAAAGTTAAACAGTAAAATTTTTACTACTATAGTACATTTTGAGCATTTTACTTCAACAAACCAGTTTAATGTTAAAAAACATTTTAGCATTTCCAACTATTGTCCTACAGATTAAAAAATGTGATGAGGGTAGTTAATAACTAATTTACTCTAAAATCAGAGAGAAACCAGGCTTTCTTACCTTCATTTCTATTTGGTTGCTGTCAGCGTTCTTAAAGAGCAGCTTGACTCGGGTTTTTCCGTCGTCAGATGAGCCTTTCAGCTGAGAGAACTTGTATCTCCACAGAACAGCCTGCAGGAGGAGAGCCGGGTTAATACTTAACGACTTACCGTTTCAGCACCGAGACGCTTTAAAAACCCAGAGGACAACAACCAGGGGGACGCTGGTGAATGACTGCTGCACCGTCGCCATAGATACCTCAGCCAGGAAATAATATGGCTGGAGGGCAGCAGGAAGAGGAAGTGGATTACCTTTGAAGTCACATCTGAGCAGGTGAACCCGGATCCGAAATCCAGCGTGAAGCTGAGAACGCTCCCCTGGCTGCTGCACATGTAGCTTTTAGACTGAGGAGGAGAAGAAGAAGAAATGGACCGCCATTAGCCAGCTAACCGCTTCTCTAGCCCAGCTAGCACCGCCATTAACCAGCTAACTGCTTCTCTAGCCCAGCTAGCACCGCCATTAACCAGCTACCCGCTTCTCTAGCCCAGCTAGCACCGCCATCAACCAGCTACCCGCTTCACTACCCCAGCTAGCACCGCCATTAACCAGCTAACAGCTTCATTAGCCCTGCTAATGTGGATCTTAAACAATAAAAAGTAAACAGTAAACTGCTTAGCTGAACAAAAAACATCAACCTCAACTATGTTTAAAGTGGCAACTAGCGACACATCTAGTAACTTTATCGGTAAAATGACTTGTGGCAGATCTAGCAACTTAAAAAAAGCAACTGTTGATGACTTTTTCAAAAGTAGCTAGCAACTTTTTCTCACAGAAAAGTAAATGGCAACAGATCTAAACTCTTTTTCTAAAAGTGACGAATCATTTGAAGTGAGATGGTTTTCTACCCAAACGCAGCGCTGTGTAGGCTAACGCTAACCAAGCTGCTCAATGGCAAAAACGAACTGTAGTACCATGGCTCAACCCATAGAGGGCAACACAGTTTTAGAAATTTACCCACAAATGTCACAATTTGGTCAGAAACATAAAGACAAAATTTAGTTATTTCATCAAAGAAAAGCTGATTTGGTGTTTAGTGACACTTTAAGCTTCTGAGACAAAATGATCCTGAAGTAAAATTTAATTTTTAGTAAGTGTACATAATTTAACGTTCATCCGTGAATCATGAAGCTCCTCAGAATTACTGTTCCTCTTTGTTCCTCAGCCTCTTTCTGCTTCATCTGGAGAGCGGAAAGCAGATTAATAATAAAATTAATTATTGAGACCGATTATTACCATTTGGCTCAATTATCTTTGTTGATTGTGAATTAATTTTAATCCTGAAAAACAAACAAATGTCCTTCAAATTATTTTAATTTAGTAAAGAGCAATGAATGGAGGAAATTCATCCTTCAGATTTATTTTAATTATTATAGCATTTTATTATCCGTACAGAGGCGTAAAACATGAAAACAATTATGTATTTAAGATGTAGATCATTTTCTGTGACGATTCAGGTCAGAAAACCTGAACATGTGTAAAGACTCCTCAGTCTGTCGGCAGCAAGAAAAGATTGACTGCAACAGATCCTTATTGGTTATGATAATCAATAAGGAAACATTAAATAATTAACAGGCTACAGGACTGAAAAAAACAGAAATGAAAATCCTTAAACACCATCACCCAGTGAAACCAGTAACACCTCTGCAAAGTAACTGGTGAAGAACAAAGTGGAGGTTAAGTCTGCCAGAAACTTGTCGATAAATCTGATTAATATTTCTGTCAGTAAAATTGTTCAAACCGATCTGAACGGGTTTGAGGCAGCAGCTAGCCAGTCAGGCTCCTGTTTGGTTTTGTTTCTTGCGTTGCGGCTTGATTTCGGGCCGCATCGTCTCCTCGGCTGGAAGACGTCCGGCTGTTCGGATTCCTCTCTGTGTGTTCTGTCCTCACACACACACACCTACACACACACACACACACACACACACACACACACACACTCTGAGGAGGCCTGGAGATTTTAATTATGGAGTGGAGTGAGAGCGGCAGCCAGGCAGGACTTGAGCCATGAAGGAGCAGGAAGCCGCTGCTGCTGCTTACTGTCACCAGGAATGAGACGCTGGGTTGTGACTGCGCTTCACTAATTGGAAAGGATTTAGCAACATTTCCTCTTCAAGGAAATCTGCTTAGCACATTCTGACAGGACTGGATGAGAGCCGGAGCCCAGAGATAAAACCAGGAACACAAACATCTGCTCTCACTCCTGAAGCAGAAAAAGGTTTTCAGTTAAATGTGTGTTTGATTCCAGATCAGCATTTTTATACCAGCTTCAGTTCCGTGACCAGGCATCGCTGAGGCTTGCTTTGGTTTTGCATCATGCAAACATTTGATTCCTCAGTTCAGCAAGAACTTTGGAATGCAGAATAAATTCATAAAGTTGCCGTCTCATTAAATGCAGAAACCTGGAGAGCGGCAGAACCACGCTTCTGACGGATCCGGTTAGCCGGCTGTGTCTGCTGCACGACTTCATGTTCCTCCTCAGATTAAAACTCTCTGCTGGCAGAACGGACCAGAACCGAACCAGAACATTCTGAGGCGGTCTGACAGGAACCTCTGCATGGTTTCTATCAGAGGCTGTGATGCCGAGTTACAGCAGAATCACTATAAGCATCTTAAAGCAGCAGAGTTTCTGTCTGTCCACTCTGTAGGCCATAAACATGTCCAGGGTTAGCTAAAATGCTAATGCTAGCTGAAATACTAAAGCTAGCTAAAATGCTAAGGTTAGCTGAAATGCTAAGGGTAGCTAACATACTACATTTCGCTGAAATGCTAAAGCTAGCTAAAATGCTATGGTTGGCTGAAATGCTAAAGCTAGCTAAAATGCTATGGTTGGCTGAAGTGCTGAGGTTAGCTGAAATGCTAAGGCTAGGTAACGGAAATGCTAAGGTTAGCGGGAATAGAACAAACTGAACAGTTTAGGAGATGTCTGGATTCGTTTCAGGTTGAACTGGTTCTGTTTGCTGAACCGGTCCGCTCTGCCTGCAAGCCAGCGCTCACCCCGACTCGCTGCACTTCCAGGAACACAGCCCTCTGGAAGGACTTGTCCCAGGTTGCCAGGTCTGAGGCCAGCTCCACCCTGAAGGTGTGGCTCTGGCCGTGGCCCACCAGGATGCTGAAGCAGAGCGGGTCGCCGTCCGGCTGCTCTGGGGAACCATGCAGACCCAGGAAGAGTCGCGCCTGCAGCCAGCAGTCCTCAGCTAGCCACAGCTGCAGCAGGAGGGGAGAGCATCACCTGATCAATAACCAATAAACTGAAACTTATTACATGATTTATTACGTAATTCTTACCATATGTATAAAACGTCGCAGTGTCAACCCAAATATTTAGCTAATATTCAAATTCACTTGCCAATAACAGGAAGTGGACTACCAAAATGAAAGCTGGTTGTTCAGAACCTCTTTAGCATAGTTTCTTTTCCTGTTTTCTTGTTTCCTGTTATGATAATCTTGTCAAAATAAAAGCTGATCCAGACAGTCAGTAGCAGAAATGTTTGATGGATTCAGTTTTAGCTTTTATTTTGGTAGTCTGCTTTCTCTTATTGACAAGGTAAATTAGCATATTAGCTTTAGCTTGCTATCTAAATGTTTAGCTTGCTAGTTTCAAACTAAGTATATTAGCTAAATATTTTACTCCAAACTAATGTTTAGCTTGGTAATAAATATTTAGTTTGAAACTGTAACTTTCATAAATAAATGAAATGAAACACGGCTCTGGTTTCGGTTTTTCCACAGAATAGATCCTGATTTACGGATCACAGCGAGAGCAGGGAAACCGACCCGGCACTGATCCGACTCACCTTATGAACCTTGAAAAGAACCTCATAGAGGTTGTATGTAGTTTCAGGTTTTCCCCAGTCGGTGGCGCCGACCTGAGAGAACACCAGAAAGTTTGATGAGCGTCAGAAACGAAAACCTCTCTGACCTCCGTCAGTTAAGATCCTGAATGGCGTTCCGGCTCGGAGTTGTTGGTACCGGCGGCCGTCTGAAGATATAAAAATACGGCCCTCTCAGCGCCAGGAACCTGAAGGCCGAACTCCTGCAGGGGGCGCTGTTCTCTGGAGCCTCACACACCCAGCCCATGTGGACGATCTGAGAAAACGGTGAATACTTTATTACAGCAGAAATCAACATGATGCAGATGTTACAAACGGAGAAAACATTTTTCACCTCTGACTTTCATCTAAAGATTAAATGAACTTTTAATAATCTGAATATTTTATGACTAAATCCAGTCAGGAGCGATCTGACTGGACAGCGAGCAGCTGCTTACCTGATCATCAGAAGAAGAGGATTTATTCAGCATTTTAATCTGCAACAGAAACAGACATGAAGTTATCAAAGTGTCTCATTAACAGCTTTTATTCCTAAGATGCAGTGAGGGTCAGCTTCCTGTTCCAACATCTAAACCAAGCAAAGGTCAAATCTGGAGCAGATCTGCTGATTTCTGATTCAGGCAAGAAAACGTTCAGAGTATTTGGCTCCGCCTCTTTTGGGGGCGGGATTACTGAGATTAACTTTCACTAATCTGGATTTTCTGATCCGTTTCTTTCCGGGTCGTTCTGCTCTTAGATCGGATCGCTGTCTCCACCCACAGAGTCTATTTGAAGGCTGCAGGTCATTAAAAGAAGCGCTCCCGTCTCTCCAAAAGCAGCTGAACAATTAGATCCCGATTGGCCGTTTAGCAATCACGCTCCTGGTGTCACTAATTAGCCGTGAATTAACGAGCTTTAAACATGGCAGCTGTGAGCAGAAGCAGCAGGACTGGATCGTCAGAATAACCAGAGAGAGATGAGGAAATGACCGAAGACGTTCCATCAGAGCCTCGTTAACAGACACATCAGACCCAACGAGCCGATCTCAGAGCTCCGATCTGGACTCACGCTCTCCTGCGTCAGCTTGCCGATGTTCGCAGCGATCGCCTGCAGCCAGTCCGAACTTTCTGCTGCCGAGCAGAACTGCAGGACGCTGGAGCTGGACACATCCGGGGAGAACAGCTCGAAGCAGTTGGACCTGGAGGAGGGGTCAGAGGTCAACCGGAACAAACAGCCGCAGTTATCTTAGAAAACAAGCAGATTTTGATCAAAACGTAATAAAAACATTCAGAGTTTCAGGAAGAAGAAAACAACGAGCCAGCGACTCTGAGCTGAAATAAACCCAAAAGTGCGACCTATGACCTTCATCAGACTACCTGCAGACACTCTCAGGTAGTCTGCAGGTCATGGATGGCCTAGCTAAAGTTCAAGACCCAGCTGGATTTATTTTCCTCTGCTCCTGTTAAACTCCTCCAGGTGTCTTCAGCGTCATGGAGGCTAATGCTGTAGCAGTCAGTCTTGTGGTGGTGGAGAAGATGCCTCTGACTAAAGATAGTCTTGACACACTAACATCCCGCAGTAACAAGTAATGGATGACTCCACCAGCTCTTAGCTCGCTCTGCTAAGCCACCTCCTTTCCAACTCTGGCTCATAATGACGGTTTGCGTGTCGGGGATGCTAATCAGCTGCTCCTGGTTGTAGAAATGATCAAACACATCAAAAGAACTATCCAAAAGTACAAAACTAAAATCTTCCTGCTGCATCCAGATCCAGAAGAAAAACATTGAACCAATCGGAGCTAACGTAGCGTAGCCAATGCGCCATGCTGCCGCCGTTAGCCGAGCTAAGCTAGGAGGAACTGCGACCGCCATTCCTTCTCCGTCTGTCTCAGCAGCAGAAGGTTAAGAGAACAGATTTACCAGCAGGATTAAATTTCTCCAGAGGGTTGATGAGGTCGTCTGAGGAGGATCACACTCGTCTGCAGATGGGGAAACTTTGTGACATTTAATTTGGGTTTTTTTCTCACTGCTGAGACCTTTGACCTCTCAGCAGGCAGAAGGAGGCAATAATCTGACGGCTCATTATTATTAACACATAACTGATCAGACAACAGGAGGACCAGTTACTGCTAAAGATGAGAGAGGGAGAGAGAGGAAGAGAGGAAGAGAGAGAGAAGGGGGGAGAGAGGGATTCTAGCTGGGTGTTAACCAGTAACTGTGTTTACTGGGTGGCTTATGAACCCAGGGGGAAGATGTTGGGATAATGTTTCTCCTTCTCATTCATCGTTTCTGGCTAAAAAAGCAGAAATCCTGGGATGCTGTCGGCTCTTTCTGGCTGAAATTATCTGGATCTGGATTATTTTTAGAGCGCTGCGAGTTTCTGAACAAAATGTTCAACAATGTCAGACGAAAGCAGCTCTGAGGCTCCTCTGTTCGGATGGAGACGGGCTGAAATGAATCCATCAGAATCGGATCGTAATCACACAGCATCTGCATCTCAGAGTGGCTGCTCTGACCTTTGAACCCGTTCTGTCTCTGCATCAGTGTCAGAGAGTCAAAGGACTCTGACCCCTAGAGGTCAATGGCTCGGCGCCGGCGCAGCTGTACCTTAGCTTATCGCTGCCGGCTCGCCGTCTGGAGACTCTGGCCATCCGCAGAGGCAGGCAGACGGCGTCCAGCCAGCGCTTCTCGTACTTTGGCTCATTCGCTGAGGGCGAAGGGGGCGGAGCCTGAGCAGAAACAGAACAACCAATCACCTTCCAGTCCAAACCATCGTCACCAACTCGTTATTATTGCTTACTGCAGGGTGGAAAACGATCTATACAATAACACTGGAGAAACTTCAAATATTAAATTAAATCAGTCCATTATGTTTAAAGTTTATCTGGCCGCACTAATGAGTTTTCTCTTTTTCCTTTAATGCATGTCGCCTGATTGGCTGCTGAAGCAGGTCATTACAAAAAATGTTCATCAGCTTTAAACTCTGAGCTCAGCAGAGATTTGACGGAATATCACAAATGAAATACTATCATCATCATCATCATCTTATCACCTGCAGCCCATATTTACAGACTGATCCGGTTCAATCCTTGATCTGTCAGCAACACCGGACCTCAATCAGTCTCTCAATCATTTCAGGGATTTATGGATTCATAACAGGAAGACAAAACGTTCCAGCGGCGCCCGATCTGGACTCGGGTCGGACTCTGGAGCCCCGGGAGGTTCTGCTCCAGCAGCTGGCAGCTGACCGCCAACAGGACCGCTACGCTAACTCTGAGGTCCCTCACCGTGTTGTTCCCGTTCAGATGGAAGCCGCTGTTGAAGAGCGGAGAGGAGGTCTGGTTCTGGTCCAGCCCAGGAGAACCTGGGCAGGAAAACAAGGAAATTAGAGGAAATTTCACCAAAATACAACAAAAACAGCAAAGATAAATCCTGGAGGGAAGTTCTGGTCCAACCTGCCTTCATCTCCATGGCAACACCATCAAGCTAAAACTCACTGTGCAGAACCACAGCAGCCATTTTACGGATGAACTACAGAAGAAAGTTCATCACTTTCAGAACCAAGAAAATCCCAACATGCTGATAAACATGGCTGCCGGTTCTGGTTCTGATTCTGGACCTCACTCTAGAACCCTGAAGTGTCTTCAGTCTGAGGCCTCTCCAAGTCCACTGTAACACAGACCTCTACAGGAGAGCCTTTCCCTAGAAACTTGGATGATCTGAGTTTCAACATTCCATCAATTATTGAATTTGATTCTAAAGGTTCCTTCATCTGATCCGGATCAGAAACTCAGACTGAAGAAGGAAAAGGAGAGGTTGACCAATCAGGAGCCGTTACCGAGCGGCAGCTTCAGAAAGGACGGGACTTCACTCAGGTAGCGCACGGTGATGGTGACCTCATCGCCCGCAGTTCTCAGCAGGTGAACCTGTTACAAACCAGTTCAAATCCAGTTAGAAACCAGTTCAAATCCAGTTAGAAACTAGTTCAAAGCCAGTTCAGACCCAGTTACAAACCAGTTCAAATCCAGTTACAAACCAGTTCAAATCCAGTTAGAAACCAGTTCAAATCCAGTTAGAAACCAGTTCAAATCCAGTTAGAAACCAGTTCAAATCCAGTTAGAAACCAGTTAGAAACCAGTTAGAAACCAGTTCAAAACCAGTTAGAAACCAGTTCAAATCCAGTTAGAAACCAGTTCAAATCCAGTTAGAAACCAGATAGAAACCAGTTCAAATCCAGTTCAGATCCAGTTAGAAACCAGTTCAAATCCAGTTAGAAACCAGTTAGAGAATCAGAGGGAAGAAAACGAGCAGCTGTCATGGCGGCCATGACGCTCATCAGCTGCAGGAGGGGAGAACAGATGTTCATGGTTGTGATGATGATGAAGATGGCGGTGATGAAGATGCTGAACAAAGAGCCAAACTGGACCAACTGAACTGAAACATCTGGAGGAGATCCACCAGAACCAGCTGAGCCTGGTTCTGGTGGATCCAAAAAAAAAAACAGATTCTCATTTTCTACGATTCAGGATTTAAAAAAAGAATCAAATCTGCCGTCTGTCGGCCTCCATTTTGTACGCAGGTCAGTCTGATGAGCGACGCCAAAATGAGTTGGCAGACCTTCAACACGTGTTAAAGAAATGATGTGAATATGAGTTTATTAGCCATTATTATTATTGATGGGTAGAAATCAAACTCACCACTTCCTGGTGCGTGCAGCGCTCCACGTTAATCCCGTTAACCTGCAGGAGAAACAGAGCAGGCGGCCATGATGGAGGAGTTACAGTCAGCTTACCTGCAAACTGAATGGGATGAAATGATGATTTTATGGACGAGGAAACGTTTCCAGGTTCAGAGCGACTGACGGATCTCCCAACCTAAAAATCCCAAAAACAAGAAAATCTGATCTAAAAACATTTCAGTTTTACTTTAGTGTCTAAAGCTGCTAAACTTTCCGTCTGTTATGATATTCAACACCATCAGTTGGTTCTTAAGACCCACTGCGGAAGCTCTGACGGGCCACTGGTGGCTCCAGAGCCGCAGGTTGAAGACCCTGAGGAAAAATGTTGAATTTCTCCATGTTTGTTGTATTTTAATATGAGAAATGATTTGATTTGTTTCTTCATAAATTAACAAATATGATCCATAATAAGCTCCATGATCAATATTATTATTGATTCACTGACTGTTCTGTAGAAACAACCAAAGATATGAACATAAATGAACATATTAATAAAAACTGGAACATTATGTAATTACTGCCAAGTCCAGTCAGTTTCTGATGATGAACAGCCTGAGCCTCATGATCCACCGCTTCCCCTCAGACAACAGGAAACGGACGAGGCGAAGCAGGAAGTGATGTACTGACCTGCAGCACGGCGTCCCCGACGAACAGTTTCCCCGTCTGATCAGCTGTGGGTAAAAGGTCAGAGGTTAACTTAGCGGTTAGCTAACGGTAATCATCTGTATATGAGGCCGTCTGTCGGAGGTTCTGTTCCGGTTCTGGGTCGGTAGTGGTATCTAACCCACAGAACCTTTCCACAGAGCATGTTAATGCCATTCGCCGTTACTATGGCAACGCTGTACAGCTGACTGCCAGTTCTACCGCAGCAGACAGCCTGACTAATCAACAGCTGCTTTAGTAGAAAATATTAGAATCATTTAAAGCATGTTTACATTTAAAGTTTGGTATTTTACCAGCTGATGTTTATTCTAGATAAAAACATTAATAAAGAAAATAATCAAGATTTAAAATCAGTGGATGAAAATCACAAAACATGGAAACAGAAAAACCTTCAGACCTGTAAAAAACTAACTGCAGGAGAAAAGAGAACAAAACTAAGTGCACCCCTAAAACCAAATGCACCCCTAAAACTAAGTGCACCCCTACTGCTCCCATTTAGGGAGAATTCTAATAAAATTCCCTGATTCATTTGTTAATACTGGTTAAGAACCAGTTCTACTGGAATATTCAGGTGTCCTAAAGGTCAAAGGTCATGACACCAAAACTGAATTACTGCTTGGAAGGAGGGAAACCTTTTCTGTCTAGAAACAAGATGGCTGCCGGTCTGAGGTTAGCAAATACCAGGCTACAGAAACAACGAGACACGTGATGGTATGTTTTGTCTTGGCACATTGGAATAAATCTACAACAGAATGACTGGAAATCAAATGGCCTAGTCAAAGTCCAGGCCTTTAACCCCGTAAAGTGAAGGTTTTCCTCTAGGAATGAATGTTTTCCTCTCTGTGATTCTGAAACGTTTTTACTCTCTGAACGTTTGTTTCACCCAGCAGATTAAAATCAAACCTTTTCTTACCGACTTGGTTCTTGAAGATCTTTGAAATGACGACGGGCACGTTGTGCTCTGCTCCACCCTGCAGAGCCAACAGGAAGGCGTTAGCTTTAGTGTTAGCTCCAGAGCTAGCCAGGTGACCTTCAGCTCACCTTGATGCTGAGGCCCAGACCGCCAGCCACCTGCCGTCTCAGGACTACAGTTCTGTGCTTTAGAAATGGGGAGTTTTTATTGGCAGACGGATTTTTTTCAGCAGGAAGTGAGCGTCGAGCAGCAGGAAGTGAGCGCACGGCGGTGACGGCGGGTGAACTTACGTTGGCTTTGGGCTCAGAGCCGTCGGTGCAGACCACGTCCAGCTTCTGGATGGTCAGAGCGTCTCTGCTCAGCCGCAGGCAGACGTCGAAGCTGTCGCCGCTCTCGCCGCTGCACAGCAACGCCACCCCAGATCGGCTCTGGAGAAAATCAGGAAAACATGTAGCTTCAGGACGACCGGAAGATTCTGCCGGTTTGAAACGAAGAACGTTTCACTGATACCGAAATAAGATGAATTAGATCAACTTACATCCTAACGTTGCTGATATTTACTGATATTTAGATTTCCCTCCATGAAGCGACGGCGACAAGCGGCAGCATCAATCCTGATGCTTCAATGATCAACAATATGGAGGAGCTGCTGAAGCAACACAACCATCATTATGGCGGTTTTGGTTGAACTGATCTCGAATCGTTTCTTAAAGAAAACTGAACTGATTAACAGAAACTCGTTAAAGTCGATAAGATCCTGAGTTTTTGTTTTTTGTTTGAGTTCATCCACATTTTGACTCATGAGAAGTTTAGTTCTAGCAAAACGTTTGCAGGGTCATCGTCATGGCAACGTGGGTCA